GGGGGAGGTGGGGTTGGGGATCTCAGGAGACTGGCGTCCCAGAGAGAGGAATGAGTACCTGTGGCAAGAGTTGGGGGCATTAGTTGCAGAGAAGAGAAGGGCCCTGAAAGGTTATGGAGGGATTTGAAACCAGAGTTTAGACCTGCTGTGATAACAACAGGTAACAATGGTAGCTTCTTGAGCAAGGGAGTGGCGGCAGGGAGGGATGCTGGGGTTGGGGATGGGCTCAGGAAAGGGGGAGAGATGAAGATGGGTTATTGATACAAGTCTCTGCACACACCCGTGGCAAATCTTTCACCCACTGAATGCTTGGTTTCCCATTCATTTACTAAATTAACCTTAAAAGCTACCATCACAAATTGCATTTCAAATGACGTGAGAAAATGCCCACAGTGTAACACTGAGTGAAAAACCAAGAAGTCTTTGAGTACGTACATTATAATCTCGAGATTGTAAGAAAAGTGAGGTGTCTGTGTTTGTTGGGATGCAACTGCTCAGATCGTTTTAAGATGAAGATTGTTTTTTTCTTTTTGTCTTTCATTGCCAAACATCTTCTTTCACCTCCTGGGAAGATTTCTACCTTAGCCTCTGCTGCCCCTAAGGTAAGAGGAACTAGTTTCCGGTTACAAATGCTTTAGCCTCTGGATTTTGTGGACTTCCAAGTTCATTGGGAAAAGACAAGAGCCAGGAGTGTGTGGCAAGGAAAAGCGGGGTTGGAGGGGTTCCCCCAAACGGAGGGATTCTCTGGGCCTGGGCTGGGTGAGGGGACGTCAGGGGCCCTGGAGGCCCCAGGGGAGGCCCGAGGTGTCAGTGTGCACAGGGGCCTCTAGGGTCTGCTGCACAGGTGCCAGTTTTCAAACTCTCCGAGATCCCTGCATCCCAAAGAGATACACACGTTGCTGCAGAGCCATGGTTTTGCTCCAGGGTTGCTCATGTGGATGAACATAGGTGACTGGTGACCCGGGGCCCCTCGACAGCCCTCCCCACTTATACATCTTGGCACTGTATGAGATCCAGAACCAGGGCACCATCCAGGGGTGGGGGAAGCTCAATCCACCCTGAGCTGATTTACAGCCCAAAGAGACATGCTATTTCCTATAGACCCAGGTTGGTGGCCCAGAGGTCTCCTCATCAGACATGCTAAAGGAGAGGAGAGGAGGGCAGGGGAGGGTGGGGGAGGGAAGTGGAGGGTGAGGAGAGGAGAGGAGAGGAGTCTGGAGAGAATATAACAACTCTTATCAGCTACTCTTTCTGCAAGTGGAGTTATGGTGAATTTTTTTCTTAATAGCGAGCTATGTTTTTAAAAAATTTTCTACAGTGAGCAGATGCAAAACTTAGAAATTAGAAGAAAAACTAACCCAATCAGGAAAACTAATTCTGGGGAAGCCAGGCTTAAGGGGACAAGGACAGAGTTGTATTGCTGGAGGACCTGGCTCCCAGGGTGGCTTCTGCATTGTCCCCAAGGCAGAAAGACCCAAGGCATTTCTGTGGCAATTGCATACCATTCACTCCTCCCTGACCAGCTGCCACCCCCTCCTCCTGCTTTCACTCACTCCTGGAGGCCAGGTGGTGCTGCCATAATGTTTCCAATTATAGGTGTCATTACCGGCCAGCTGAGGGGGACGAGACTGTGTAATGCCCACCAGTCTACCCCAGACCCCATTCATCCAAGTGCGTTTAGAGCTCAAATTTCTTTCAAGACAATAGGAACATTCTGTATTTTTTCAACTCCTAGTTTAGAGCTCAAATTTCTAAGACAATAGGAACATTCTGTATTTTTTCAACTCCTCTCTCACACTGATTCCCTATCCTGCTTCTCTTTGTGGGTCTCCTGCTCCTATAATGGCACCTACATCCTCCCAGTATCCTGGTTACAGGATTCGTCACAATCTTTTCAACCCTGATAATCAACAAGCCAGCAAGTCCTAAGAATTTGACCTTAAAATCTCACGTTCCCAAACATTTTCCTGCCTTTCAATTCCCTACATTTTCCCATATCTGGCCTTTTCATATTCACTGCAGTGACCTCTTCAGTGGTCTCCCTGCCGCCTCCCCCCGCCCCCCGTCCACCTCCCATAATGTCATACCACGAAAGAGAAAAATACTGGGATTGTGCTTCTTTATTCAAAATGACTTTGATGACACTGTCCTTCCCTCCCACCAAAGCTTATGGGATAAAATTTAAATCCCTTTTCCTGCAGCTCGAAGTCCTTTGTGACCAGCCCTGCTCCCATGGCAGACATTATTAATTGATCACAGCACTCTTCCCTCCGCTCATCCAGGATGCGGCTTCTGAGTTGTCTTTAGGACAACGTATCAGGCACCCCAAAACAACCGATCACAGTTGGCCATCTCGAATCCACAGCTCACCCAGATATCAATGCTTTGCTCTCTCTTGCCCACCCATTCTCCTCCTGCCATGTGGGATGCGTTGACACACTCGCATTGGAATAATCAAGGAAGGTTTGACTAACCACACAGGTATGGGCAGTCGAGGGCTACCCCAAGGGATAGTACATTCTCAGGACCTCGAATGGAGGGGGCTGGGGGAATGAGCACCCTGGCCTTGTTTTCCTGCCTTCCTCACATCACATGCTGGGCTCCCTATTGCTTGAAGCTATAAAAGGCTAGAGGGCTAGATAACCCACTGCAGCAGACCTCACAGGGCAGAGCAAGGCTCAGGGTGGATCTGCGAGATCTTGGGGAAATTCCGGCCCACAGAAGGGCGACCTGCTCAGCCTCACAGATCAGAGAGAAGCCGGTGAGGCTCATGGATGGGCCTCTGAGTGTGCTCATTCTCACGCCCGTGTTCTTTTCCTCTTGCAGCTCCCTCTGCCATGGTGACTTTCGGATCAGCTTCACCTGCCAACATCGCTGGAGCTGGAGCTCATCACTTCTTCCCTGGGGTCCTAGCGCCAGGCAGACGCATCTGGGGAAGGAAAGACATAGCCATTGCTCCCGTTTGCGGGACAAAGACCTAGAAAGAAGCTGAGAGGGCATTTTTGATCCAGGATCTCCTACATAGAGCCCTCATCTCCATCTTCAGCCAAGTCTCTAACTTTATTTCTCCTCCCTGTGTGGCCTGCTAACCATTTCTGCTCCAAAGGGGCAAAGGAGAAAAACAAACAAACAAACAAACAAACAAACAAACAAACAAACAAACCTGTGCCCTGTTGGCCAAGTGAAGGAGTCAGAAGTGTGAAATTTCTTAGATGTTTCATGCCTGGTCTAAAAATTAGTTAAAATTTGTACCTTACTCCATAATATATGTGTCTTTGTTTTGATATCAGAAGAATGGTTTAATGCTCCCAGCTTTATGTAAAACTGGTGCGTAAGAAACTGGCCTGCCTCTCGGCAGCATCGTCTGGTATCTGGCCAGTGAGCAGACCGCCACCTAATCCCGTCACTGCCGCTCAGACCCAGTTCAGTGGGTTTGAGAAGAACCCTCACTGGCCTGTGGCAAGCAGACTTGCTGCAGGCTCTGAGGATCACTTTTCTTCTGCTGCCTTTAGGACTTCGCCCCATCTGATCAGTGATTAATCACAGAAACTTATGCAGCTACATCTAGGGACTATAAGTGGGCTGGCTCTGGGTGAGGAAGGACTCTGATGCCAATTGACCTGTCCCTAGGCCTTTGTCCAGTGTGCTCACTTGGGCCTCTGAAAGTCTGCCTGACCCTCGGTCTCTTCTTTTCCTCTATCTCTCTGCCTCTGTCCCCTGTGACTTGTCATTGGACAGCTTACTATGCCAGCAGAATGCGAATGCTCCCAGAGTAAGTCAATTCTACTTAACAACCATCTTGAGAATCTGGTATGTGCCATGATCTGTGCTGGGCGCTGGAAATATCAAGGTGACCAGGACACAGTCCCTGCTCTCTGGTCCTCACATATAGCTAGAGAGACTGGCATGTGACCTGTAAATGACTCTAGAGTTTGCCAAGAGCAGCCCCATAAGTAGCTACACAGACAGAACAGAAGGGATGGATATTAATGTGTGTGTGCATCAGGGAAAGCTTCCTGTAGGAGGAAGGGGTAGAGCAAGGTTTTCAAGTGAAGATAGTGGTTTCATTCCACAGCTGCTTGAGTCTTCATTCAGGATAATAGTTTCTTCTCTCTGGCTGGTCTAGACGGGCTGGGTGATGCCCTGTTGGATCAAGATCCAGGGCTCAGCCTGAAGAAGAGAGAAAGTACGGCAAAGTTGATGGATGGGTCTGGGTCTCACCGTGGTTCCTACCTGCATTCCATGTGGAATATCCAAGGAGGGTCCCAGAGGCCAAGGCTACCTTCCTCTGGCACTGCTGAGGGGAATGGCCCGAGAGTGGCACTGCCTGCCTTTCTCATTACCAGGATGGGAATTCCAACCAGCCTCCCCACATCAAGCCCTGGTAATCAGAATGAACTGCAGCACCTGAGAGCCCCAAGCCCAGCGGTGACTGGGGCACATTAACAAGCATCTCGGCTAGCAGCAATATGCCGCAACAGAATAAAAGCGCAGCCTGAAGCCAACCAGCGGCGCCCCAGTTTATTTCCGGTCCTTACCTAAGCCAACCTCATTAGTCTCACCCAAATGTGTTCCTCTAATGATGCTCCAGCAGAGGTGGGGGCACATGTCCTTATGGTCTGGGCAGCCGGGGCTCCTAATCAAAAGTAATAAAAAGAATTAAGAACAGCCTATTAGGCTCCTTTCCCCCTGCCCACCTCCCACCGCCCCGCTGCTTCCGGGCTCCCCATCGCTCCAGCCCTTCCAAACTGGCTCAGGACCAGGAGCGCTGGGCCCTGCAGCAACACCCAAGATTTATTCCGAGCATGCCGCCCTGGCAAATGGCGCCAATCCTCCTGCTCCCCGCCCACTAACGAACATCTGCTGGTGGTTCCTGGGAGTTCAAGGACTTTGGGAGGCAGCTTGGAGGCGGAGTAATCAGAAACTAAACATTGCTACCGCCTCTACTCCAGAAAGCCACGAACGAGTCCACCTCTGTGCGTTTGGGTTTATGTTCTTCCTCTGGGAATAGCCATCCTTGCTGCCCACCCATTCACTCTGTCAAGCCCCCTTGGCCCCGATACTCAGGTCTGTGTAGCCTCGTTGAGATGCCTTTCCTAACAGCCCTGGAGGCCAGGTCGGCCCCTCCCTGGGCTCCCTATCACAGCCTCTCAGGGAGTTCTCATTGTCTGTTTATTGATTGTCTCTGAAGCCAAGGGCTCAATGCCAGGCGTCAAGTTGGCCTTATTACAAGTTTTCGAATGAATCTATATGAGGTATAGGATGCTTGGAGTAGGAATTTCAGAAATAAACAGAACATTAACATCTTAATGTCTTCCTTTGGGCTAAATGTTCACAGGGTTTAGCAGGCTCAAAGGTGGTCACCAACGCTTCCCTTCCTGAAGGCATTAGCCACATTCTGCTTTTACCCACAGGAGAGACACAGACGGCCAAAGGCTAAGCACCACCACAGTGATGGCCACTGCCCAATGTCACAGCAGCAGCAAGGCTGATGATATTCAAGCCTTGCAGGCCTGGGGTGGTAGCATGGGTGAGGTGGAACAGCTGGGCTTTCTATAAAATTTCTGTTTCTGCATGGTCTTTGAGGATGATCGGCAGGCCTGTCTAATGACAGCAGGTGATGGGTCAGGGGTAAAACCTTTCATTTCACTTGGGGCATCTCAGTTGTAGAGGGGAAGAAATTAAATCTCTCCTTTTCCTGCCCAAGGGGAGGGAGATGGGGAGGGTTTGTTCTGCTTAGGTGCAGGCAGTAGAGACTGAAGTGACGGTATCTTCAATAGCCTGGCTGAGTGTCGGTCCTGTTGGTGCCAGGGGCCAGGCTAGTCCCGGGAAAACAGAGGGCCCTCCCCCTTGGAATGTCAGGAACGACAGGCACCCTTACTATCTCCCTCCTCCACAATTTCGTGCATCCAGGGCAGATGTCAAGGATGCTTATTCTTGCTGTCTCATCCCTGTGCAAGGGTCAGGAGAGGTCCACATATGTATTGGTTATACACACCTGTGCACATGCACACACATGCACACATATACATGCACATGAGGCAAAACCTCGAGAACTAAAAACAGTTTTAAGCACTCAATATTATTCTGTGGCAAAGCACCAACCCTCCCAGAAGACAAGCAGAAGTTCATTCATTTATCGGTCCAGCAGGCATTTGCTCCAGGCCGGGGGCTGATGCAACAGCAGGCAAACTGCTCAGTGTCTTGGCCTTTGTGGATCTCTCAGGGTGAAAAGAGAATTAGACCTTTAATAAACACACAAATCAAAGTATAATTACAAACCAGGATAAGTGCAATGAAGAAGTGCCGGTGTTATAGGAAAGTCCAGCAGGGACCTGGCCTTGTTGGGGTCTGGGAAGGTGTCCCTGAAAAAATGGCATTTGAAGTAAGGGCTGAAGGATGTGTAGAGGTACCTGGGTGGAGGTACTGGGAGGAAGAAGTGAGATTCTGGGAAGAGGGAACTGTCCTGGACCAGCGGGAGACTGATAGAAGGGAGAAGGCCAGTGGGATGGGCAGTGCGGTAGGAGCGAAGCCCATAGAGGGAGCAGGGCGACAGCATAATGTGGGCGATTATCATGGCACAAGGGGCCGCAGGATTAAATTTTCTGGCTGTGGAGTGGAGAACCATGGGAAGGGGCAAGAGCAGATGCAGAGGACAAGTTAGGACTCTTTGTACATCAGTCCTGGTTAGAGGCAGGGGTGGTAATAAAGAAACTTGCCAACAGCATTGTTGCCAGCAATGGGTGGTGGGTTAGCGAAGGAGGTACAAGAAAAGGTAGAGTCAGGGGTGCCCCTGACTGTCTGACTTGCATAAAGGGGTGAAAAGGAAAGGCTGGACAGGCCCAGGCTGAGTGCTCTCTAGGCAGCGGGGCAGGGCTGTGGTACCATCTAGAGCTACCAGGATTGAAGCTGGGAGCTGGGGAGGAAGCCAGAGAGGGCAATGGAGAGAGAGTCGGGGGCAGGGCTCCATGCCTGGCTGGGTTCTAGGGACACAGAGATCCTCGGCCCTCACTCTACCTGTTCCTTGAGCACCATTCCCCTTTCCCACTTAATTCCAGGAGGGAGAGGAGCATATCTCAAACCAGTCCTAAAAACAAGCAGTCCTGTTTTTAAAACACTTACATGAAAAATGATCGTTTTTTAGCTAAAATATGAAGGATAGTCAAAATAAGTAACAAACTATGAACACAAACATGAAATGAGATCTTTGAATGGAATAAACACTAGCTCACAATTATTAATGTGAAGAGTCGATAACCCCCCACAAACGTAATGTGACAGGGGCTCCTGCTAGCAGATGGCTCCAGTCTGAGGCTTATCCAGGCCTGGGCCTCCCAGGGGTTCTGGGTTACCCCCTAGGATGTTCTCAAAGTGTGGTCCTGACTCAGCAGTACCTGGGGACTTGTTAGAAATGGTAATTTTGGGCTCCAGACTAGACTTGCTGAATCGGAGTAAGGGCAGGGCCCAGCAAGCTGTGTGTGCATGTGTGTGCACGCACGTGTGTGTTTATTGAGATGAGATCCACAAAACATAAAATTAATGGTTTTAAAGTGGACAATTCAGTGACGTTTACTGTACTAACAGTGTTTTGCAACCACCTCCACTCTAGTTCCTAAACAGTTTTCTCACCCCCAAGACAACCTGTATTTATTAATCAGTTACTCCCTACTCCCTATCCCCGAGTGACCACCAATAAATCTACTCTTCCGTCTCTATGGATTTGCCCAATCCGGATATTTTATACAAATGGCATCACACAATGTGTGGCCTTCCATGTCTGGCTTCCTTCACTCAGCATCATATCTTTATAATTCATCCACATTGTGGCATGCACTGATGCTAGATTCCTTTGTATGGTTGAATAATATTCCACTGTGTGGATGGACCACATCAATCTGTGTTTTAACAAGCCTTCCAGGTGATTCCGATGCACCCTCAAGTTGGAGAACCACCACACAGCAGTACTGGGGACTGAGTCCCCAGAGGTGCATC